TGCTGTGGTACTCCGCCTAACAGACAACCTCTTCAATAAGGGTTTGAATGTTACACCTTATAACTTTTCGTCAGACACACAAGTTGCATGCACCCTGAGAAGAATGGTTCAAACAACTCGAATAGCCAAGACGAAAGACCAGGAATAATACGACAACTGCGGTCAGAATCACCATCTCTGTGAGTGCCTTCTAGTAGCACGACAAAAGTGAGTCACCATCTACAATGTTTCAAGCTACAATCAAAAAACGTCATGGTTCAACCAACTGGAAGACGCTTTGAACCCATCAGAAGATTATCCTTTCAGAAGACAACCTTTGGATTCATTGCTGTGCACGCTTCGTGAGGCCAAACTTCGGGCTACAAGGTTCGTTGGGTTTTGCTACGAATCGGGAACTAAATACACACATCTTCTACTAACAACGGGGAAAACGAAAAAAAATTACATTGATTCCATCACTGTGATACCGACCCACCAAATTGCGATGGTCTTCTTGACCGAGGTGGCAACAATGGGTTGTTATAAATATATGCTGCCGGAAACAATCATTTTCTCTAAATCCCTAGTAATTTGGAATGTCAGTATCATGAATATCCATTTTTTACTACAGGTAAAGTAGCGCCCAACTTTAAACTTTATGTTCCCAGAGTTTATACGAATCTGCACACCTGGCCTAATGTTTTCATGAATCGGTCCGAAGAATGTTCTGAAGGTCCTATCCATGACGTTAAAATTACCAAATCCCCAATGATGAAGTAACCAAACTAACCATCACAAATAACCCCGGGATAATGTCCTCCAATTTAATCCACTTTTAAAGAAGCCCGGCCAACGCATCTAGACTGAAAACAGCAGCGCGAGATCGCGCTTTTGTTTATGAACCTTAGCAAATATGGCCTCACAAATGGATTTGCTGCCCTATATTGGTCAGACAAAAGGGTGAATCGTCGAAAGTATCCGATCCTCAAAAGTAACATTTTTTCGCTACCGAGGGGAGACACTTTTGAAAGTGGTTGTTTAATTTTCGAGGAAGGAATGAAATGCTTCTACGACTGCAGACAACAAGGTTACAAATATAGTTTTGTTCAGTGGCACGGTCGTTAAAATGATGTCGGAGGAGAAGAAATTTCACTTAGACAAATGGAAATCCCTTACTTGGCTGAGAAACAGATTACTGTTTCTAAGGCTGCAGACAGTAGTTCTCGCTAAGGCTAAACATGCTGACTTCAGCTGTGCTTAAAATTCCAACGTAATGGCTGAACACAGGTCGCAGAAGCCTAAGATGGTTAATTCACAGTTCGACTACAGATATGATGACGATGATGATGCTGATGATCATGATCGTGGTGATGACGATATAATGATAGTGATGATAATGGTGATAACAGTAATAATCAGAAGCAGGGTGACCGATGGCCATGAGGGTCACCGTGCTGATGGACACAATGATGATAATGGTCATCGTGCTAATGATGGTGACCATGATGATGGCGATGGTATTGGTGAGAATATGGATGATCCTGAAGACGATTATGGTAACACGGATGATGCAAACGGTGACAATGATGCAGGTGATGATGAGGACGATGGGTATGGTGACGATCGTGATGAAGATAGAAATGATAATAATAATAATAGTAATAATAATAATAATGATAACGGTGAGGACTATCGGAAGTAGTCGAGATGATAAGATTAGGTTCTAACAGCAAACTCTCAGGTCGGTCCGCGCACTAACCACTTAGTCAGCAGTAGCTCGAATCTCAAGCAACTACATTGCGATTTATAAATGGGAAATATGCATAAACATACGTATATTTTACCGGTTTGCCGACAATGAGCAACTCAAATCATCCGAGTTCATTATAGTCCATTAAAGCTTGCTGAATGACGTCAACCGGCTCCATTCGACCGCGGAACTTTCAAATTCATCTATGATCTACTCAGAACCTGATCTCTTGAAAAAGGGATGGAAAACACTCGTGTCAAGTCGAATTATCAAACCCATTTCAAGGTAAAAGCCATTGAGGGTACTGAATGCGGCGGTGAGGAACTGCAATAGTTTTAACTAGGGATGAAAGTTCCAAGGTGAGGTTCAGTGTTTACTACCAAAAAGGGATGTAAGATTCTACATAAAGAAATATGATCGTTAGCTCTTAGTAGAATAAGCTCCATCGGACAGTTTTGTGACGCTGTCAGCATCGGCGAACGCTTTGAAACTGGATTTTACAGTGTCCAAATAAATCCTGGTAATTTCGGCCACATACGAACGAAAAACGCCCACACAATTCAACACGTTCGGAACAGAATGGAAAACAACCGGTTGATTTTTCGCAAAGGAAACTACTCACAAGGTTGCTGAAAACTCTTCGACAGCCCACCACCGGTTTCGCCCTTCTTGGGGCTCATCAGGTAGGCGCAGTCCCCGAGTTTCCGTCAACCTTATGTTCTACTTGAACCCTAATTGGACTGTTTTCGAGAAATACACACATTTGAAAATCAATTTGGTTTTCACGAGAGACTCAACTGAATCTCTCGTTCAAGTAGAACATAAGGTTGACGGAAACTCGGGGGCTGCGCCTACCTGATGATCCCCAAGAAGGGCGCAACCGGTCGTGGGCTGTCGCAGTTTTCAGCAACCTTGTGAGTAGTTTCTTCTATGAAAATATACTGCGATATCTCGAATACCGTGCCAACTGAATCATGAGGCGGCCTGTGTGCAGCACATTCAATTGTAGAATATCATAAACGAGGGATTCAGTTGAGTCTTTCGTGAAAACCAAATTGATTTGTAAATGTGTATTTCTCGAAAACTGGTAGCTGTCTGCATCGTCATCATCATCATCATTACCATCATAACCACTATCGTTGTCGTCATTATGATCACTACCGACAGTACCAACCCTACCATCATGGTCGTAATCGACATTATCACCACCATCCTAACCATCGTCATTATCATCATCACTATCACCGGCATCATCCTCATCGACATCATTATTGCCAAAATCACCATCACCAACACTATCGCCATCACGATCATCAACATCATCACTGTGGCCATCATCGACATCACCCTCGCCACCAGCACCATTATTAACCACATATTCATCATCACCATAATTATCACCATCATCATCAATAGCGCCAGGTATATGGAATGGTCTGTTCTCCCCCGATAAAACCAAATAGGCTAGACAGGCACTGACTGGGGAATTCACCGCCATGCTTGAAAAGAGCGGGTGGAAGGTCATCAGGACTAGCAGCACAATGAAGCTTGAGTAGAGATATACATTTGAACACTTCTAAGGCCGAAGAGGATTCCATATTCACAATCCCCACCATTCTGTTGAAGGCCGGCATTAAGGAATAGAGGTACTAGGTAGCCAACTGAATTTGGCCGAAGCACTGTGCCCAGCTGTCCAAACGTTCTCCTTTGCTGGATATCAGGGCCACTTTCGTCCCTGATGATTTCGCTGGCAAGTAGCTTACGAGGACCAGTCGAACAAATGAAGTGGAAGAGTGTGCGGACGCTTCCAGAATTTTTCGAATCTTCCATTTCTTCGGCCTTTCGGTTCCATCAAGATTCTTGGTCAGCACGGACACTCAGTTTTAGCTCTCGTATGATGCGTCGGGCTGAACTGTGGATGCGGCCAGGGGAAATTTACCGCTGGACCTCCAGCAAAACCATGGTCCCAACAGAGACTCAAGGTTAAAACGACGTTGGCTGGGTTGCGCCGCAAAATGAAGTTCCGGCATTGAGTAGCGCTTTGGACATCTTTTCCCAGTGGCCGTTGGTATCCGTTATCGGACCGTCCGGCAGGTGCTCGAGGTTCCAGGTCTGATAGGTCTGATTTCTGGGTCCACTAGCTTCTCAATCGCTGAGCGAGGTGTGCGGGTTTTGCGTAAACCTGAAAAGCGTAATGAAAAGCAGAGGGACAGAAGTACATAGCCGGAGTTAACACTAGTATTTGGGACGGAGCGGTAGACAGTGAAGGACGCTCACCACCGGTAACTGATGGGGCGATGTGCGCAAGATAACTCAGTGGTTAGAGCGCAAATTTACTGACCGGAAGGTCCGCGGTCGGAAACCAACCACTACATCTCGACATATCCTGTCTAGGCTCGGGCGACCTGGCAGTGTCGTACCAACCCTCATGCTTCCTTCGGGTGGCATGGCAGCTGGGCACCGAAATGGTACCACAACTGAACGATTTTTGACGGTGATGTAGTCTCTGTGGATTCGGGGTTGGTTCGTTGGTGAGTACCACGTTTTCAAGCGATTTCCGCTGGTCTGAAAGCTGGTACTGCAAAGGAACAGTCTATGATCGGCACAACCTGAAGCAGCCACAAGAAACAGGGTGCGATGGACCTCGTTTTCTAGAGATTCTTCTACAGACATCGCCAAACAAACAAAACAGAGGCGACTATCAACGGGTGTCCAATCAAAAAGACACTTCCACTCGGCCTGCGCCGGCACATCCAGATGCATCACCAGGACTGCACAACCGGAACCTGGAAGAGGGCCAGAGGGCAGTCAGATTGATATCAGTACTTGCGCCCTGTCTTTGTTTCTGAAAGACATCATACATCAGTGAAGAGGAAATCCAGCGTACGAGCACGAGCCTCGTGTTGTCCTGCTTGCTTCAGTGTGCGAACATTAAAGGTAGGGATTCGAACACAGACTTCGAAGCGTCTAAAGTTGTTACTGAAGTCGGACACACAGGAGCTGCAGCTGGGCGTGATGCATGGCAAACAGAGCAGTTAATCATAGCGTTGGGATCTTTGGGAAGAGTATTCGAACTTGGTGTGATAAAGTGCAAGCGAAAATACGAGACAATCCAAGAGAGGCGTCAGCATTAGAATATTTTCGCTTACACGCCTGCTACATGCAGCAAGTAAGGAGATTCGGCTAAGGACACCACGCGATGGTTGATGTGGCATGAGATTATTCTTACGTGTACAAGTCACGGTTGTAAATGTACTGAGACACTGCCAGGATGCCCACACCTAGACAGGAGGACGATTTGGGTCCTCAACCAAAGCCTCTGGCTCGAAAGCCTGACCGTAAGCCAGCGGTGTTTGGCGGGAAATGAAAATGCATTGCCATTTTTATAGAACAAGTGCATATAACTTCTAGTTTTTTCAACAGGGAGGTGTTCCTTCAATTGCACCAGTAATGAACCTAACGTTTTACATTCCCGGAAAATTGCTCCAATCTTGAATGTGTTTATCATCCTTCAACTAACCTCTGGTATTTTTGTTTTGGGATAAAGGCTGTACCAACCCACTTCTTTGTTGGATCTTGATATCAGGAGATATGCTCCTCTTAATTTCCGCCTAAATCAAACCCACATTTTATCCACTTTCCTGTAGTCTACTTCTGACTTCAGTTTGAGTTGCTGTCCGATCGACTGCACACAGCGCTCTGATCCGACTGGACATTGTTGAGGCGTGCCGAAATATTGGTGGTTGGGATAGTTTATTGGTTGCTGAGCAGGTTGCTGTTGATTATTTCACCGAAGTGGGTCATTCGCTTTTAGACGTTTCTTCACCGAACGAGGAGACATTATCAGTGCATGGTTGGCCAGTTACTTCCTGCTCGACTGCGTGTATTTATATAACTTTTGAAGAGTATCTGTTGCCTTTTTGAGTGATTGACTAGTTGAGAGACGGCCTTTTCTTTAGTTTATTGTTTCGATTGGATTGCTTATTCCTACACCTCCTACTTTATACGTTTTCCATCCCTGTTTTGGTTGATCCGCTCTTAATGAGCACTCCGTTGTATTCTGATTCTTTTCAGTTTATTTGTTTGACTATGTTGCCTTTTCTTCCTGGTATCTAACCGGTTAATCAGACGTCATCAATTTAGTGATTGGTTTCACTGATTAGGTGCATATTCAAACCAAATTCATCCCCTGCTTCTTCAATGACTTTCTCACCAGGTTTCTTGTGCATCTTCCAGCTCTGTACTTCTAAAGTTTTCTTGCCCTTAGTGATTAATTAATTGGATCAGTTCCAATACGTTCGTTGATGGCGTCTTCAGTGGGGCACCGTAACTCCACAAATTTACGTTCTTTGTTGTTACCTAAATAAGTGTGTGGACACCGTTCTAGTCCAACACGTGTCCCACCTGCTTTTAGGGTACGGACATGGGTTAAAATTGACCGCGTATTGCAGCAACAAGTTTTAACACTGGACAATGTTCATTTTTAATGGAGATTTCGATATGTAAGTGAAACCAATATGTGGTGAAAAGCCGAGAGGTAATGTACGCTTGTTTCACCTATATTGGGAATGATTACCAGTATGAATCAAAAGAAACTCCATGGAGTTTCGAACATGCGACATCCCGGTAATTAGTTGAAAACCCGAGAGGTTGATCGGCAATGGGAATGACTCGCAATTAGACAGGATATAGCTCAACTCAACGTGCAATCACAGAATCCACGTTACGTGGTCAAACGTGCTGAGTGGCTGATCGAGTGACTTCGATAGAACTTCCACTCATCGGGCGAATCGTGCCCATCTTCTGAGCTATTGGTAGTGTAAGATTTTAAAATATTCAATGGAGATTTCGTGAAACGCAATTTTAGTGTTAGGGGGAAACTCAGTTAAATCTTGTTTATAACACGTTTATGGACGTCCTACACAACGCCCACCTTATACTTCAGTTAGCACAGTATTCAGGAGATCGAAGTAAATTTTGCTGAAATAACGCGCTTCACTCACTGGTTGATCTAGAAAAATAACACTGCAACAACTAGTTGTCTTATTCTGTAACCTTACCAGAAGATCGAGATATGGAAAGTGTGTGAAATTACGTATTGCTGGATAATTTCTACTTCCGTCGCTTTGTAAATCCATGGGGGGATTGCGGTCTGATGATTGTATTTCAGTTGACTTGCGGTGCCACATATCAGTGCGGTCTGATATTGTATTTCAGACTTGCGGGGCCAACATTCAGTCGAATTCTGGGAGCTTAAGTAAATCCCCCGTTTAATGAGTTATTCACCAGCCAAGAAAGCTATTTGGACAGAAACGATAGACATATTCAGTGACTTAGCACTCAGTGATGTGGGAGTATTATTGTGTTTCAAGTATCGCATACCGAAAATGTGGTGGCACTCCAAGTTTGATTCCAGGCTCCTTTGACATTTATCAAACACAATCAATCAAATAAAGGAGACCCTTAGCCAGTACGCAACGGTGATTAGGACTGCAGCCAATGAGGCCTCGTTGACTGGCTCTTCGTCTGCATTAAAACTCGGCCAATCTTGTAACTTAGTTACTTCATCTGACGGACGTTTGATGTCAAAAAAGGAATATGGCCCAGCACTAAGCCCACTAATTTTTTTCCAGACTTTTCTGAAACGATGTTTGTAACCCGATATCAAATGTGACGAGTACGTTTATGCGCATTCAAACCCTTTTCGTTTGATGAGGTGCACAGATGGTCTTAAAAAAAGCGAAACTCGAGTCGTTCTTTGGTTTGAACTCATCAGAATAAGTGCGCCAGGGCAAGAGGAAAACTGTTCATACGAGAGTAATGTGAATGCAGACCCCTCAACAATCTACGATTATCATGAAAATAACTTCACAACGAATTCGTCAATGTGGGTTTTAGACTGTTTTCGAGGCGTGGCCAACAAATTTTATGGTGAATTCACCCACGTGCTTGATATTTTCTAAGTTACTGAATGAAGGAATAAATACTAAAAGCTCCGGTCACCAAAGAGCTTAACTTTAACCATGGAAAATAGAAAATGAACATTTCGTATGAAAACAGATCACCTGCACTGAAACCATATTCAGCGAAGCATTTGATGATTGCAGAAAGCTATATGGCGGCGCATACATTTTTATGTCACAACGTTGCATCTAACGGTGTCGACGATTTTACCAGGGTTGGATCACTAGTATTCAATAGATTTTACATACCGATCAGGCGGATCGGCATAGGTCTCTCGCAATGACAGTCTCACAGTTTAAGTGATACGGTATCACACCCACAAACTTCCGTGTGGTGCTGGAGGAACACTGATATGATGTGAAGCATTTTCAACGAAGAACGCACTGTGCAGTTCTCGTTTTTGGCCCCGAAAATTGCAGTTGAATCAGTAAGCCCACTCACAGCTGGGGCGCAATCTAAACACTTGTTGGCACTGTACTTAATGCCAGTGTATCTTGTTCTGTCGATGTCCCAGAAGCATCTTGGCTACTAGCTGAGATTCTAAGCATTAAGGGTTTTCAACTTTTCTTCCGTCAAAAAGCATCCAGTCAAAACGAGGGCACAGACTTCCGCCAACTACGCAAACTCCTTTTGTCACAAGGGGTTAAAAAAGTAATGTGCCTGTTTCATCAGCGCTGAGCAGGTCCCCTAGTGGGATTCTATCATAAACAATGCATTCTTCAAGTCTAGCAAGAAGCATTATCTTGACCAACAAAAGCCCTGTGTAATTTACGCTGGATGCACAAGAGGTGCTTAGGTCCATGAGTCATCAGCACAAACCATTCCTATATTTTGCAACTAAAAAGCTGCGGGTGCATTCCCATCCACTTTTCTCCTAGCGCTCATACCATTTGTATCAACCCTTATTCGAACAATGTAGATCACCAACGCTTTGTCCATTCTTATTTGTAAATCCCGTCCTGTTCTCCTGTTTAGAGCATGTACGAGATCTAGTGATTTTTGTTCGATCCAATCTGTTTTTTGACCTTGAGACCAAAAAGCAATTTGTGATCCCCCTTGTGCACACGTGACTTTCTCATGTGTTCTAATCGGTTTCGCTCGCCTTGTTTGTAGCCTTACGTATTGCAGACGAGTATCTACTGTTCGTATGTGTGTGGTTCTACGCGCTTATGTTTCACATTAATACTGCTGAACAGAAAGCCAGCTGACTAGTTTGGCTACTTGGGAGTTCTGGTAATACGGGTTAGTCAAAGATACCGTTTTGGCTGTAACACCATTTGTCTAGTTGCCTTCATGAGAGAAAGACTGCTTTGCGACTGTCACTAAACTTTTCCGACTTTGTTTTTTTGAACAACCTTCATCCTCTGGATCTAAAAGTGGGTCTGCCAAGAGTATTCACAACGCCAATCAAATCAGAGGTTGAAATGATCGATATTAGCTGAGTGCCAATCAGCAATGCCCATGGTAAGGTGATTATGCTCCGCTGAATCGGTTAACAAAACCTCTGTGAGCGCAGTAAATCTGTTAACTCAACCGTACTATCCACTGTTTTGCCACCATATGACCCCTAACGTCAATCATGTGCATCACTACAGGCGGTGGTCACTTACCATGTCGTTGTAGTAGTCGAACCACAGGTCACTTAGGCAAATTCAGATACATGCGAAATTGGACATCTTGCTTGGAGTGTCGAGAAGGTTAGTGGGGAATACGTACATGTCTGTTTAGTCGTTTTATGTGCGTGTCTCTGTATAGGGATCCGTACATTTGAATTTCAGCCAGGCAGTTTGACAAGGCTACAATATGGTGTTGGTTAGCCTCTAATAAACAGAAAATAAGAGTCGCATAAACCAGCAAAAAACAAACCGCATTTCTCCAGTACATTTGATAGCAAAGTGTAAAACGCCGCGGGAGCGTGAACACACGTTTTATTAGAGAGGTCACACCAGGGAGGGAGAACTGTACAACTGCGTTGTCCTATTCACAGGATTGCCCTAAACGATCGTACCGGCACGGAGACGCACTACAAGATAACCAGAACATGGAGTGCATAAATCTTCAAAATACCAAATAATGAGCTGGATGAATAAAACTAACCGGACATCTACAAAGTCATCCGCAGGTGTTTCCTTTCGGAGTAAATACTCCCGCACGACAGGACCGGTTACAGAAGAAACGTCTGTGCTAGGTGTTGGTGCGGAGCGATCTGGACTGGGTTGGTACGATGAGCTTTGCAGTTGCACACAGCCTTCAGCAGACTCATTGTGAACCAAGTAAGAAGGGAATGATAAGGAAATTGGAGTAGATTCTGACGACGTACTACCACATGCAGGTCCATTGTTCTCAATGCGAGATTGAATCTCGAGAGCAGAACCACTCACTGCCCTATCTCGCAAATGAATCAGCTTTACCTTCAGAGCTTCCGCCAGGCGTTCGGTGGTATTCACACTGTGATTTAAATCTTCTGGTAACAGTCCAGGAGACTGACCGTCTGTAAAGCAACCCAATGAGAATGCCGCAAAAATATTGATGAGTTGAGCATGCCTTTCAAAAGTAAAGTCTTTTTTAAGAAAATCTCACTAGTCGGACATGTCTGTTGAATGACGAGAACACTGCCACCTTGACACAGTTAGTGAAACCATACATTCGTGACGTAAATAAATGGTAGCAAGCAATGTCAACTCAGTGAAATGAGCTACACCATCATTAAATCCCAAGTGTCCATACGTGAATGGTGGATCTTGAACCCGAGGTAGTAGTAAAGTACACTCTGACCACCGAGAGTCCGAATGAATAAACACTAAAACTTTTTATTAGTTCAGAAATGGCATGAATTTTCTCACACCTTACAAGATACTCACCAAGAGGTTCACCTAAGGGCCACTTAAGCAAGCACACTTTACGCCGCTCGGCACTTCGCGAAACTTTGTTATCGACTGTTGATTATGACCAGCTAAAACGGGCCGAAGACGTACCTTTTCAACAGCAAAATGACCAGCATAAGTCATCAAAAACAACAGATTTACAGGATGGAGAAATGATCACTCAGTCAGTCAAACACGATAGACGGTAAATTGTAACTACCAACTCTTCTATCCAAGAATAGGATTATGGAAAATGGCGTTTCATCGTGACATTCTAATCCTATGTTGAGGAAGTTACAACAGATGCGAAAAAGCGTATGTCGGAAACCATTTTATGGCGACCCAGGTAGTGGGTTAGCGAGAAACCAACCCAATGCTCAACGTTCTTCGAACTGTCACGAGGAATAACTGCACCAGATAAATGCTCAACCCCACAAACATAAGCAGATAAGGCTTTTCACTGGTGTCCAACTATCGCTGAAGACTCGGCGAGAATTGAAGAGGTGAACTGCAATACTTTGCAAGCATTTCTGCGGCCGATCCACAGCCAGATTAACTACTGACACTTCACATTAAGTAGCGACATCCCCCCGGAAGGAAAGACGACCTAGAGAAAACGATATCAACCATGTTCTGTGCTTGAGGAAATCAAGTATGGAACGGGCGAATACCACGCAAATACACAGTGGGTTCCCTCCTGAAGACAGCATGCAAACAGTTATTAATGTATGCCAACATCTCTGGCACGACTTCTAACATTATTGTAGCATACCATAGGGAAGTAAATTTTTCGCCTCAGATGGCGCACAGCGATCAGTACAATTGGGCAACGTATCCAAACACTTATACACAGGTTCACCTTGTCATATTTTACCAGGGCTACGCCAATGTCATGGTCACATCGGATTTGGTGAAATAAGGTTAGAAGTGCCAGTAACTTGGTGCACTGAGGAATGATGAGGTACGGATTAGATGCGGGCTCATCGTGTTTGTCAGTCGGTCAAGCTGCAAGTAGAGCTTGACATGGCTCAATGATTAAGGCGCGAACATTCTGACCGGAAGGTACATTGTTTGAACCCAACTACTCCTGTCCGGGCCTGAGCAACTTGGCAGTACGTTAGCCCTCGTGCCTTCATCGGGTGGCATTGCAGCTAGACACCGCAAGGGTGTTCGGCTGGACGACTACTAGTATTTAGGTTGCAAATGCTTCGAATATTCAAGGAAGTCATATCCTAACAAACGGGGCTTACGAAAGTGACTTGCGGAGAGTTAGAAGAGTCACGAACCAAAAATCTGATACCTCTGCTGTGTGCCTATCCATAGTCCGCAAAATTTACGCCTGTCGCAGCCATCCAAAAGTGACAGGCCTCAGGAGCGGCCCCGTGTCATTATTTTCCCACACCACCTGTAACACACTAACCATCCCTCAAAACAAGATCAGCCGTCCTCCATTAGCTGCGACGATGCGACACCGAGCTGCTAGGAACTTCCTATGACAATGCCACTGAACTTGCTGATAGTGAGGATTTTTTAGAGGGGGTTATTATTTCGAAGGCGAATAAAGAAATCGGAATGCATGATCTGGCAGTGGAAAATGGGTCACGGTCATTAAACCAGCAGAAGAAAACATGAAGTACGAAGATAAAGGACTTCATCAGGACCCGAGTGAAATTTGACTTCACCAGGGGACTAGCTAGAAATACCGCTATGTTAGGAAGACAGTTAGTCGTTCCCTCACTTGTTGGTCGACTTTGTACACTCCCACTTGCACTGATCCAACTTGGGGATATGAAACATTTTTCTCTACCGAGAGATGTACTGATGCTATGAGAGATATGCTTGCTTCTAGCATAGCGATCTCCTCCCCTAAAAAGCGTTCTTCGTAAAGCCTTGGGATTGACCATATTTGATTGTTTTAATTAGGTAAGCAGTCAATCTAATATGTACACAGCTCTATCCACTTAAAGTTGTAGCCACAAGCTGCACACAAGGCAGTTGTGGAACCGATTTGCAACATCCTGTCCAGATAAGCCAATAAGTCGCTAGTACGTACAATGATTCAATGCAGTAAACCAAGACTCCCTGTTGCTGGAAGTTTACCAGTGACTGGGGCGAGATGAACCAAGTGGTTAGAGCGCGAATTTACTGACCGAAAGGTCCGTGGTTTGAACCTGACCTCTGCCTCTCGACTTCCCCTGCCTAGGTTTGGGCAACCTGGCAGTATCCAGGCCCTCGTGCCTCCTTCGTGTGGCATGGCAACTAGGCACCGTTCAGCTACAGCTGAACGATTACCAGTGGCTGTTTCCCTCGTACGGGAGATTTCAGCTGAGCATATGCAAACTACAACTGACTCCCTCTACAGCTTGGTACGTGTTGCACTTCATCAGCACTGTTTTGGATGCTTTCTTCAACCGCATTTGCATTCCAAGCCGAGTTGCAGACATTGCCTCTCTGGAGACTCCTTCTCACCTGCAGAGAACAAATCGACCGTCGCGGTAAACACATCACAAACGAGAGATTCAGCTGGGTTCCAGGTAAATCTACCACAAAACCAAATTTGTTTTCGCTTGTATCTTTTTCAGTTCCGAGGGGTTTAGTTCACCTAGGACCACTGCATACCAAAAAATTGCGTGCACCCAAATAGTGTCCCCGACAGGCAGGGACTACTTGGGAGTTCTTCTCGGGGGGGGGGGGGTCCTGCATAGTGCAACAGACCCAATATCGATCGAAATCGACAGAGCCAAGGTGTACTAACAAGTGTGGAACGCAAGAGGTTAAACAGCCCTTGGGACACCCTAACTCCATGTCAGGGTCTAAAGTCTAGAGTTACATGGAGACAATCACGGACTCTTATCCAGCTATTCTAAGAGTTTGGTCAACACATCTTACCCAAGATGTAAAACTGTGCACGCCTCTAGTGGTTATCATGTATAATCGCAAATCTACGAATGGAACCCGAAGACGCGGCACAGAGACGCTAATGATACTGACAGTTGTTGTTCGGTAGTAGCCAGCAGTATTGCCGTGTAAAAGACCCGACTTTGATACATAGAGTCACTCACCTAAACAACCAGGACAAGTCAACAGCAATAGGCTGGCTAGTTCATCATACCCAAAGGGTGGTGGTCCCGTCCCTATTTTCAAATTTTTCGGTGAAGGAAAGGAAGGTAGCAGATGGAAGTGATATGTTCTTGTATGGCTGAATAAACTACGTAAGCGGAAGCACAAAGGTCCTCGGCGCAATCTACTTGCAGCGTTGAAAATTCACAGTTCACAGATCATTTTCGGATTTGTTACATCGAAGAGTAATTATTATTAGTATGAAAAGACAAGGTAAAAATTTGTGACATCCGATGAAAAAAGTTTGTCTTGTATTCTCTTCTCAACTTGACAACATTCAATACCTCCAATTAAGAGGAGAGCTAAGTGATCGGCGACTATCTACTGCTGCCCAGTTGTTTAGTGTTAGCTAATATTGGAGATGCACGAAACCCGATCCTCAGGACGTTTTTCAGTGGCAACCGATGTGTATTGCACCCAACTGTTTGGAGAGTTCATGGACAATCTCTTTGAAAAATAACTTCTCTTTGCCATGAAGAATGGCCTCGGTAGGCCTTGATTGTTGAGGCACACATATAATACATACATACGTAGGTACATACACATAAAATGTTTCCGAAGTAAAATGAAGGCCAGACGTTACTCAAAAAGTGGGATGAACGATGGCGGCGTACGCGTACTGCTAAATAACACAGTATTTTAGATCCGCAATTTCTGAACCTCTTCTGACTATAAGAATCTAGGTCTCAATCGATCCCAAATGGTCAGTAACATAAGTCGCGATTTAAAGCACGAATGGAATAGTTGCGATGACGAAAATCGTGTCTGTCCAAGTTAATTGCGATCCTTAAAAAGCAAGGTGACGGGCGGAGTTGTACCAGCCTCAATAATCCCACAACACTGCACACATACGGCAAAACCCATGCATATGCACGAGACGAAGAATGGTTTGTCACAGGATCGAAACAAACTGGATCACGAGTGCCTCACTCACGTGACACAGGCATCTAAGCGCTCCCCTTAACATATGATTATACAGTGTTCATGTCCAGTGCAAGGAACTGTTGCACACTGACGACCAAACTGACTGAAATCCGGTGTTTTGTCGTCGAATTATTGCATGCTTTAAGATAAACTTGGTTACGCGAGAAGTACAATATGATTAAAGGGGTAGTATAAGTGGGCATTTCAAGTAGAATATACGTAGTCGACCAGGAGTGCGCCACATGCAGTAATGGGAACGCGTTGATTTGAATATAGTAAGGCTGGAAAGAGATGAAACAGCGGATACTATCAATGACATGGTTGTCATAGGCGACAAACTCGCTTCAAATACTCAAGCATAGTCCGGAATGGATGTTACCACAATCCCCAAGAAATTGTAAGCATGACCTCTGGTGCGAGATGAGATTTTTATTCGATTACTTAACGTACAGAAATTTTCTCGACTAAAACGAAGGGCGAAGTATGGCATCCGGAGCCTTAAATGAACCGATAAACCATTGGAGAGTTAACCAGACTACTAGCTCAAACAATCCACGGACGGTATATTAAACCCTTGACAGCGCGGCTCGAAGATGACACTGCACCATGCTAATACTACTCCACGGACGTTAAACCCTTGACAGCGCGGCTCGAAGATGACACTGCACCATGCTAATACTACTTCTATCTGGAATTCACCGGAAAACGTAACGTAGCCGGATAGGCGCCTATCCGATGGGCGTATAAAGTGGAAAAAGCCACCGACTTTAAGTGGATCACAACC